AGGAGATGGCCCATTCTTGTTGAACAGGTAGCTCCTGATTCAATATATTCTGAGAACAACTGTTCCATCATCCAGAGAGAAGAGCAATGTGTCACAGCAGTGTCGTTTCCTTCCAAAGGGTGAGTGCGTCTGTGTGTCACTAGTGCTGACCTAAGTGGCAACAGCTAGTCCTTACAGATCTGATCCAGGGCCTTCATGAGGGAAACCAGTTTCCAGGCTTTGGACTAGGTTTTCTGGTTATCAATGTCTAGAGTCAGTGATGCTCTCTCGTAGCATAACATTTGCTGTCCATTTCCTTGAAAGCTGATCTCATGTCTCCTATGGAGAACAGTCTCTGAATATCTTTTATCTGGTAGAAATTTATGTGAATAGACTATAGGATAAACTCTTTAGTGTTTCAGTAGTTAGTAATTTTGGGATTTTTCTTTCTAGCTGTAAATTTTAATGTGATATGTATAATATTTAAGAAAATACTTGTATACAGGCATAAGTATGTGTGCACACACATATTGACTAAGTTATGTGGTCCATGAAATTGGATTATGTGTTGGTAGTCACAGCTCCACCTATAGCACCCCTGTATCTCAGTGTCAAAACAGAATCACATTCTGTGTGGACACAGAAGGGCAGAAGGTGTTAAAATCTCGAATCTTTCTCAAGGAAATGAAGCATTTAAGAGCTTTATTGTCAGGCGGAGGGGGTGCACACCTTTAATCCCATCACTTGGGAGGCAGAGGAAGGCAGATCTCTGTGAGTTCGACGCCAAGCTGGACAGACAGCCTCTAAAACAATACAGAGAAACCCTGTCTTGTAAAACCAAAGAGAGAGAGAGAGAGAGAGAGAGAGAGAGAGAGAGAGAGAGAGGAGAGAGAGAGAGGAGAGAGAGAGAGAGAGAGAGAGAGAGAGAGAGAGAGAGAGAGAGAGAGAGAGAGAGAGAGAGAGAGAGAGAGAGAGAGAGAGAGAGAGAGAGAGAGAGAGAGAGAGAGAGAGAGAGAGAGAGAGAGAGAGAGAGAGAGAGAGAGAGAGAGAGAGAGAGAGAGCTTTATTTACATGTAAGGGTACTTTAGCATGAACTTTCTAAGATATGGACCAGGAATGGTCTGGGTGAAGAGGTAAGTGTCTCCATGACTGTAATGTGTTCAGAAGTTTGATTTAGGATTTTGCACTGAATATTAAGTTTACTATTTTTGCTACAGGTATGCTTGGATTTTCCTTCTTTCTAAAATTTCACTTGTGTCATTTCTGCTTTAGTGTTTGGGATGGTAACTGCTGCAGATTGGAAGTAGGGAACACATTAACATAGGGAAGATAGACTTGCAAATTTTTTTCATCTTTTGGATTGTTTTTTCCCTCCATTTCTTTTCTTTATTTCTTTTTTGGTTTGTTTTTTTCTTCCATGTCTTTAAGTGATTTTTCTCATATCTTCTTTGAGGGCCTCTATCATTTTCATGAAGTTGTTTTTAACATGTTTCTCATCTGCTTCTTCTGCCATGGGCTGTTCAGGTCTTGCCTGTGCAGATTCTCTAGTTTCCAGCTGTGTCATATTCGTTTTTCTGTTGGTGGGTTTGTTTTTGTATTTTCTCCTTCCCATCATTTCTCCCTATGGGTGCAGAAGAGTCTCTTCCTCCCCTGGTGGGTGTCTGACCACGGTTCCTTTCCAGTGGGTGGGAGCAGTTCCAATAAGCTGGTGGCAGGGATGGAGGCCATCCTGGTATCAGGACCTTAGCAAACTCTAGGTAGGCTGGACCTTCACCTTGCTTGTCCCGTGGGTGGAGAATGGGACTTGGAAGCTGGCAGTCTCAGGGCTGGCTGAATCCTGTCAGGATGGGATCGGGTGTGCACAGTCCTCAGGTCTCTGGTGGTTCTGTTCAGGCCATCGGAAAGCAGGAGACAGAGCCACACTTATCTCACCTGTCCCGTGGGTGGAGAATGGGACTTGGAAGCTGACAGTCTTAGTGAGCTGAATCCCGTAGGGCTAAAGATAAGGTTTTAAGCATACTTCTGACTTCACTATTCACATTCCAATACAATCTCATGAGAAAGTTGTGCACTACGTTAAACCTGGACTTTTGGGCAGCTTCTGCTATCTCCCTAACTACTTAGGGTGAAGTGGCAAAGAACAATTTGAGTTTCAACAAAGCAGTCCTCAGTGTGGTCTGTAGTCACTGGCTGTAGCCGTTGATTTTCCTGTGTGTGTGAGTGCTTATGGCATGAAAGTGATGCCTTCACTAGAAGGCTATATTGCAGGAATTTATAAGAGGTCATGATTTTGTTTATTAGCTTCTCTTTGCCAGCTGCTCCAATTGAATTGCTTCACTGAAGTTTGGGGTAAGATAATGGCGTCGATAAAGAAGACAAACGTTAGAGACAGGTAATCTTCTAAACCTTATCTCCCAGTACTCCTTGCAATGGCTGTAAAATAGAGCCCTAAATTTAGAGGACAAGGTGCTACATTTAGTTCTTTTGCCCCTGAGCAACCTGGTGCTGGGCAGAAGTCCGAAAGGGCTTGATTTAGGTACCTGGGCGCTAAGGGATTTAAGCCTGGGATGCCTGGCTAGTGCCCACCTGGTGAACTCAGGTGAGTGAACCAGAATGCTGGGCTTAGGAGGATCGAAGTGTGCTTGAACAGGGGAGGTTAAATTCTGACCAGAGAACACAGTTGAAGCTAACGCTCTCTAGGTGTACAGAGTTCAAAGTGCGGACCCTTGGGCTCGCGCACCAGACTATTTCCTGACCTGGATTATGACGCAGGCCGGCGTAGGCGGGAGGGTGCCCCCTGGATACCACAGTGTAGTTTATGGTCTGGAGAGGATAGTACAGTGCTATAGGAGCTGGGACGAGGGGGCTGGGCGCTTTCACTCCAGGGCTGTGCCCCAGTCCTCGGAGTGTAGGGCTGCAGCCCCACACTGGCTGTTTTCAGTTTTCATTGTTCCAAAAGACAGTGTGTGTTTTGGGCTTCAAAGGACAGAGTACGATTAGAGCTGGGACCAGGGGGCTGGGCGCTTACACTCCGGGGCTGTGCCCCAGTGTAGGGCTGCAGCCCCACACTCCCTATTTCAGCTTTTCGTGCTCTAGCTCTTCTGTACTCAGGTGTTGGAGTCAGGAGTGAGCACAGACCTGTCTGCAGAGATAGGGCTGTGGAGGGAGTCCCCACTGCGCTTGTGAGACCAAAGGTGCAATGATAGCTCTTGCTACACCACCCCAGTGGTGCCAGCCGGCCACTGGCGCCTTCCGGTTCTCAGAACCATGCTTATTAAGCCCGGGTGTGCTGCTGGCCAGCGGGCCGGCTGCGTGTCCTCTGCCTGTGGGCTCAGCGATAGCAGAGCCCTGTACCTCTGCGGTGTGTGTCCAGCGGGGTTCAGAGCTGCAGCACGGGGTGAGTCCTGGGCACCGAAACCGCGGGCATGGTGGGGCCTGTGCTTGGCTGCTGGTTTTGTTGCTTGGAAGGCGGCCTGGGGATCTGGAAGCCTAGGTGGTTTTGCACAGGAGTCAGTTAGTTAAACGTGGTTCTTCTGATTGCAGGAACCTGGAGTTTCTTGGTGATGAAACTTCTTAAAGAGGATATCTAAGCTGGGGCCAGAGCTAAGATTCTAAATCTGCATCATTTTCTTATTATACATGGTTGTGTGCCACCAGGTGGGTGCTGGGAATTGAACTCAGGACCTCTGCAATACCAGCTAGTGTTCTTAGTCACTGAACTATGTCTACAGGCCCCCATGACTTTTAAAAAGGATTTTACAAGTATAAATTTCCCTGTTACACACCTTCTATAAGTTTTGTGCTGTGGTTTTTTCAACTTACCTAAAAGTATTTTTATTTGTATTACAAAAAATCTATTTTGTGTGGATGGGTGTTTTGCTCTTGCATGTATGTCCATGCTCCACGAGTTTGCAGTGCCTGAAGATGCCAGAAGAGGGTGCCATGTTCCCCTGGAACTGGAATCATGGATAGTGGTGAGCCACCATGTGAATGCTGGGAACCAAACCTGGGTCATCTGTTTTCAAGAAAGACAAATGCTCTTAGCTGCTTAGCTCTTCCTGTTTTAAGATGGCTAATTTTAACTCACTGTAATCAGAGATCATGCTTCTCAGGATTTGAATTTTTAAATGAATCTTTACTATTTCAAATTATGTGTGTGTATATGTGTGTGTCTGTGCACACGTGGGTTCCATGCCTGAGAAGGCCAGCAGAGGGCATGGGATCTTCCAGAGTTGGAGTTATGGGCAGGCGGTTAAGGACTGTCTGACATGGATTCTGGGAACTGAACTCTGATCCACTGCAAGAGCAGTAAATGTGCTCAGCTGCTGAGTCGTTTCTCTGGGCTGGGCCCTGTGATTTGATTATTTAAAAAACATTGTTTATTTTAGCTTGATGTGTGGATTTGTTCTGAAGAATCTTGTGTGTACATCTGAGAATGAATGTCTTTCTGCTGTTGTTGTATAGTGTTTTGTTAGTATGTTAACCTAACTGGTTTGTAGTGTTGTTCCAGTGTTTGCTCTTCATGTTGACTCACTGAAGGTGAGATCTTGATATCCCTAACTACTGTTGATGAATGGTCTGCTTTTTCCTTTACTTCACCAGATTTACTTCGTCTTGTGGTTCTCTTGTTGGGTAAAACCCTATGTCTTAAAGACTGAGGTAGCATTTGCAATCATGTGTTTGTTTCCAGTAACAGTTTTTGTCTAAAAGTCTTTTTAATCTGATATCAGAGTAGTCAATCCACTTGCTGATGATTAATTAGTATCTGTTGCCTGGTGATAAAGATTTGAATAACCCACTGAGGTAGGATGGATTCAAGAAGAGGTAAAACACACAATCACCTGCAGGCCTTACTCAGTGAGGTGTGGAAGAACATTCAGAAGGAATGTGGATGGCCTGGTTATACATTAATGGTCTTTGGGGAGAGATGATGGAAATAGTTGACTTTACTGAATCTCTGTCCTTGTGATCCTGGAGGCAAGTCCTTTTTATCATTGCCTAGCAATATGATGCCACACTCTTGTGTCTCAGACCCAGGTGAGGAAGGGAGAGAAAGGATTGGGATGAAAGATTTTTCACCCTTTTCTGTGCCATTTTAAGGTTGGTGCTGTACACTTAAGAGGCTAACACTAAGTAAAGGAACTCTACATCAACCCCAGAGTATAGGCTGTGACCTCCTCTTGGATCCTGTCTGAAGACACAGATGTAAAAAGGAAAACAATGATACAAGAATTAAAAAGAAAAAGAACATAATATTGCATATGTTTATTTGGTAGAAGTTAATAAAGTGTAGATAGCAGCTTGGAAGGGGACCTTGTGGGTGATCTAGCTAAAAACAGATTTCATTGAGAGTAATGATCAAAGGCTTTGTTTGTTTGTTCATTTTGTCAGATCCCTAAGGGGAAGACTGTTCTGGAGGTTCTAGTGGGTGTGTGGTGATGCCTGAAAGATTCAAACGCATCATTCCTAGGCTTGTTTTTCAAAGACTAGTTTTTTTTTTGTTGGGCTCAAACTGCATTATTTTAACTCAAGATAAGAGACAGGAGGAAAGGGTTCAAATCCCTCTGTCAGTTTTTCCTGACCACTCCCCATTCCCCACCCTACTAAGCTGCAGATCTGTGTTGTTTCTCTGCAAGGAAACGTTTTGTCAAACCCAGTGCATACAGGTAAATAATTAACTTGAAGTCAGGGTGAAGCAGCCAACCCAGGTCATTGATGATCTGTTGTAATTGTCTTAAAAACCTCTTTTTGGGGTCTCCTACTCAGCTTCCAAATAAATACACAGAGATTCATTCTTACTTTATGAGTGCCTGGCCTTTGCTCAGCTTTTTCCTAGTCAGGTTTTCTAACTTAAATTATTCTGTTTCTACTTAACCTCTGTTTTCTCTTTGGGCTTTTTTCCTTTCTTTATTCTGTATATCTTTCTTTCCTTCTTATTCCATTTTTGGCCCCTGGCATTGTCCTCCTCTTCTCCTTTTCTTACTTGATCATCTCTAGGTTTCTCTTGCTAGTTATTCTCTCTGCATGCCAGCTCTGCCTGTCCTTTCTCCTGCCTAGCTATTGGCATGTTCAACTCTTTATTAGACCAATCAGGTGTTTTAGGCAGGCAATGTAACACAGCTTTACAGAGGTAAACAAATACAGCAAAGAATAATGCAACGCATCTTAAATATTACACAACATTCTTTCTTGACACTCTGCCCTTATCCTCCAACCCTCCTGGAGTTAAGCTCTGAGAATCTCCTCATAACTCCTGTTTGAAAACTCATTGTGTTTCACCACACTTAGTCACTCAGTAAGAACAATTGTAAGTTGCCAGAAAATGTGGATGGAGGCTCTCTGCTTCGTATTTTATGGCAGCCCATTTCATATTCACAGAGTTGACCATGCCACCTATACCTGTTTTTGTAACAGTACTGTGGAAGATGCATGCTAATAGGCTTAACTTCTTTGTCTTGAAGGTTGTGGCAGCAGTGCCTGAAGATAATACAGTAAGCGTTGATCCTAGTCCTGCATCATTGGAATTGGTGACATGTTTGCTTATCTTTGGACTGCTTGCTGTTGTCTTATTAGTTTGCAGAGTCTACAGATCAGTAAGTAATAACTTATAGTAAGAGAATGGTCATTCTGGGATTTGTTTTTGCTTTTAAAATTTATTTTCTTTTATGTGTATGACTGTTTTGCACGTATGTATATGTATGTATGTATGTATGTATATCATTAGTTCGTGGTATATAAGGAGGTGAGAAGAGGGCATTGTTGGATTCCCAGGTACTGGAGTTACTGATGATTGTGAGTTACAGCATGGATGATGGGAGTTGAATCTTGGTCCTCTACAAGAGTAGCAAGTGCTCTTAACCACTGAGTCATCTCTCTAACCCTCATTCTGTGTTTATGATTGAACAACTAATTGGAGAAACTTGCTATTTCAGAGAAATAAGTCAGGTCATAGTGTTCTGGGTTACTCATGGTGATATGTAGTCATTAGAAACTGAATATAGATTTAGTGGGTTTTCTTTGTAGGAATACAATAGGGTAGTGCTAAACCCCATCTTTCTTCCTTTCCTTCTTCTTCTTCTTTTTTGGGGGGTTTCTGTGTTTGTTTTTAACAGTATTAAAATGCCAGCAGATATATCTACCTCCCAACATAGAGTAAAAAACCCTACTGTATATGCAGTTAATAATCCCTGATTTCATTCCTATGGACTGCTATGTAGAGGTACGCTTGTCCTGGATCCTGTATTGCTTATTAATATATTTAATTTATTTATTTTAGGAGGGAGTCATGCCATATCCTTTTCTTTCTGAGACTTCTTTTTTAGATGTTTGCCCTTGTGCTCTGACTTCATTCCTAATTTCTTCATGGTTTTCTAGTTCCCTCCAGAAGAAGACCCTCTACTCGTGTTGCACTTCCTTGTCTTCGGTATACACACATCCCAATGTATCTCGTGTTTTCCAGTTTTTCTTCTGATTTTCTGTCTCTGTTTTCTAGGTGGTAGACGTCTGCTTGTTTGCTTCCCTTGCTCAATTTACTCTAGCCCCAGTGCTCTCCAGGGTGGATTTATCCCTTCTTCATTGAGAGCTTCTTTAAGAAGTAAAAGTCTAATGACTTTATTAGAGTCAGTCCAGGTCTAGAGCCCCTTGATATTTCATAGACTTTTATATTGATTATTAACAATAGGAGACTTAATAAAAGGGGCTCCCTAAAATACTTGTTTTAGTGCCCAATATATGTGTGTGAAACATGGATTCAAGTGGAACTTAGCAGGTGACTTTGGAATGAGGCTGTTTCAGAGCCTTTAATATGATAACACACAGTGTAAATCTTCAATGGGAGATGTTACTATGTAGCATTGTTTTCAATGGAAATAGAATGCTTTTGGGTAAGTCATTCACTGTAAGGCCATAACAAAGTTGTTATCTTAAAACTTAGAGTACACGTGATATAGATTTACTTGAAGGAATATTTGTTTTAATGTAATTTTGTTTAAAATTTGTTTACAGATTCAAAGCCGATTTTATGTTGGTAAGTAGTCATTTTGGTTTTAGATCTTGTGGTTGTATATAATTTAAAAACTGATCACACTTAGTCATAATAATCTTTCTTTTGCTTTCTCAGTAAGGGAGCAAAAACTGGCTCTCGAACTTTCTGTGCTACTGAAAGAGAAATGTAAACTACTTGAACAAGTGAGCCTTGCTCAGAAGGAGGTAAGACATGTTTGAAAATAACATCCATCGTAGTGTGGCACTTACTGGTTCTCCATGGATGATTCCGTGTCATCAGAGCTGTGTCAGAGCAGAGCTCCCTGCTCCTCACCTTCATCACTTAGCCATTCTCTTTGCAGCCACCCTGGTGATGTATGGTGCTTGTCTTCCCTGACAGACTAGTGAGAGGGAGCACCTTGATTTGCTCATTGCTCATTGGATATTGTGAAACTGCCTTTAGGGCTTTTTCACCTTAAAAACAACTTTATTATTATTAGTAATATTGTGTGTGTGTGCGTGTATTTGTGTCTTTGTGTGTGCATGCATGTACCAATAAGGCATGTTTGTGGTGATCATAGGATGTGGAAGCAGTCAGTTTTCTCCTGTTACCATGTGGGCTCCTGGGATTGAACTCAGGTTATCAGTCTTGGCACCAAGCTCCTCAACTACGGAGCCATCTTGCTGGCCCATTTCCACCCTTTTAAAGGCACTCACAATCTTTTTCCCTTTAGGTCCTATAGAAGAAGGGTTTTTGTTTTTAATATTTTCTATGTTATATATGAGTTTTGTCAGATAAGTGGATTGCAAATATCTTCTACTCTGTGAATTATATTTCTGTTTTGTTTGGTGTCTTAGAAGTTAGAGGTCTAGAATTACAGTGTTAATGTGCTGTAATGTGTCATGAAATTTTCTCTCATCAAGGATATGAAGGAACTTTTGCTTGGTGTTGTGTAAACACTTTACTCACTGTTTTCATTTGGGCTTTGTATTAGCTTGCTAGGGCAGCTGTGACAAAATGCCACTTTAGCAGCAGGAGTGAATTTTCTTACAGTTCTGGATACGTGTCCATGGAGATGTAGGCAGACTTTGCTTCCTCTGTGGCCTGTCCCTTGACTTGTAGTTACCATTGTCTGCTTGTTGTGTCTCACTCTGTCTTAATGCTCTCATGTTAGGATACCAGTCATGTTAGTTTGGGTCATCTTAACAGCATCAGTTTAACCTAGTTATTTTTAAAGGCTTTGTGTCCAAATATCATATCATTCTGAGTTGCTGAGACTTAAGAGACTTGGTTTCTCTGTGTATTCCTGAAGATCAGGCTGGTCTCCAACTCACAGATTTTGTCTTCCTTCCTGATATGGAACTTAAAGATTTTACCTTCCTTATTTGCCTTATTTAACATGTGATAAAAATGTCTGGTAGCCAGTTACTACACATTAATCTGTTGATTTGTTTAGGGAATATTAGATGACTCACTTCTGTGGATAAGCTTAAGTCACTCTTGCTGTTAGAGTTTTCATCTCCAGCAGACTTGGAACAACTTTGCTAGTGACAAGGGTAAATAACGTTCTGCCGTATGTTGCCCCGGCTCGTGGTTGCGGTGTTTGTGCTCAGCACAGTGGTTATATTGCAAAATTAAGCTCAGAAAATCCAAGGGAATTTTACCTTTGTGGAGATAGATTCTGTTTGCTGCTTTGGCATCTCTTTAGATACAATTTGAGACAAAATTTGTAGTTTTTACTCATGTGTTTCCTTGTTTCCTTCAGTATGAAGCATTAGAGTCATCTTTAAAGGAGGCCAACTTTGACAAGGTGTCAACAGACGCACAGAGTTTGGAGGTAAAAAAAGTATGATTTAAAATCTAGGGAAAAGATTCCCATCAAAAGTATGTTATTTTCTCAAAAATAATTATTTCAGAGAAATATAAAATATGTGTCTAGATCTTAAACCTTACAGAAAAAGTTAGAGGAAACGGAACATTTGTAGGTAGCATAAAACATTATAAAACAAGCCAATTTCAGTTCTTGTTATTAACTTGTTTTGGGGGATAGGAAATCAGTTTATCAGAATCTACAGATTTATAGAAAGTAATCCTTTAATCTGTACTCCTAGGAATGCATTGAAAAGACCATTCCTTTTTTAGGATATTTTGCTCCAGGAAAAACACATAGAACTCTCACAAATTTAAGAATAATAGGAAATAAATAAACTGTGACCATATCACTTTTTTCTTACCGTGGTAGTAGGCATTAACTAAAATTAGACCAGAGGTTTTCATTGTAAATAGTGGCATGGTGATAAATATTCAGTCCCTGTCTGTACTCTTGATCATGTCCAATTTTCAGTCAGTGACACTGGTATCACTGAATGGAGAGTTTAAGAGAGATGGACAGTTAACTCTCCTGTTTCAGAGGACACAATGATTCATCTTAGCACACAGAATACAATGTGATGGAGTGCCTTGATACTGTTTGCAGATGGAAGGGTTGTAAAAAATGAATTGTGAGCCTGTATCGTAAGTAGAAGCAGCCTGCTCCTGCTAATGATAAAATAGAAAACAGATCTTATACCTTTGATTATGGTGTTCATTTCAGTGTGGCAGGTCTGTCATGTTATGTCCTCTGTAGGAAGTCTGTGTTTTATGATTGAGAATGCTCTTGTAGAACCCACAAGGAGTTTAGACTCCAATTACATTCCTGCTGTTATTTTAACGTTAGAGAAATGAACAAATGTATACAGTATTTATAAATTCATCTGATTTTTACCCTAACTAAAAATTCTTATGTCTGGCTTGTTAAAGTTAGCTTTCTATTTCAGGCAACCTATAAAAATCTAGAAAGAGATAAATCTCAATCTGGTGATGAACTACTAATTTTAGAGAAGAAACTAGAAGAGAGAACTAAGCATCATGAACAAGATGAATTGGTGAGTCCTGTGTATTCCAAGAGAATTGAGAATCTTACACATTAATACTATATTTATGAAAATATTCCATGTAAGCCAGCCATAGTGATGTAAACCTGTAATCCTAGCTCTTGAGAGGAGGTGGCAAGCGTTCAGCAAGAATGTGAGAGGACACCCTGTCTTTAAGATGCAAATAAAGGAAAATAAATAAATAAAACTCCAGAACCAACCAACCAAATAATACATCTAACCAAAACTAAATGAAACAAAAGAGGAAACTCCTGTATGTAAAAATTAGAATATAGATGACCATGAGAACAAAAATTTCCACATCCGATCTTTTCACCTGGATTTTGTTTGTTGTTTTTTTTTTCAAGACAGGGTTACTCTGTGTAATATTGCCTGGCTATCCTGAAACTCACTCTGTAGACCAGGCTAGCCTGGAATTCACAGAGGTCCATCTGACTCGGCCTCCTTTTGCTGGGATTAAAGGCATGCACCGCCTCCCATTGAATTTTTACTTTTTGGATGTTATGTTCATTAGTGTTTTTGCATATTCCTTTTTTCTAATTGTTTTCATTTTCTGAGACAGTGTTAGAATATAGCTCATTCTGTTACACTGTATAACTGTATAGCTGAGGCTGTCCTCAAACTCATGACCTTCCTGCCTGCGCCTCCTAAGTGCTGGGATTACAAGTGGGTACCCCTACACTTGACTCCCTTGTACATTTACATGGAAAATTTCCATATCTGGTGTGGAAGTAACCATAAATAATGTAATGTGAATAATCATACTAAAAGGTGTATGTATGTATGCATACACACATAGACATATGTTTTAACTTATAATATTTTAAATATAATTTTTAATTTAAATTAGAAACAAGCTTGCTTCACATGTCAATCCCAGCTCTCTCTTCCTCCCCTCCTCCCTTGCCCCTCCTCCAGCACCACAGCCCCCAACCCAATTCCCACAATGTTTCCCAGGGAGCATGAGGCCCTCCATGGGGATCTCCAGAGTCTGTTATTTCATCCAGGGCAGGGCCTAAGCTCTCCCCCACATGTCCAGGCTGAGAGAGGTTCCCTTCATGTGGAATGGGCTCCCAAATTTTATTCATACACCATGGTAAATATCAATCTACTGCCCAAGGCCCCAGAGATTGCAGAGGCCTCATCACTGACACCACATTCAGGGGGTCTGGACCAGTCCCCTGCTGGCCTCTCAACCATCAGTCTGGGGTCCAAGAGTTCACCCTTGTCAGGTCAGCTGTCTCTGTGGGTTTCACCATCATGGTCTTGACCCCTTGCTCGTCACTCCACCCTCTCTGTCACTGGGTTCCAGGAGTTCAGTTCAGTGTTTAGCTGTGGGTATCTACCTTTCCCTCTGCTTCCATCACACATGCACACACACACACACACACACACAAACACACACACACACATACACACACCACACACACACACAGACACAATATTTACAACTTTTTTTACTTTAAATTCTGGCATAAGGAAAATCTTGATGTGTGTGAGATTATTTAAAACATGAATTAGTGGGTTCATCTTGAACCTAAACAGTGCTGTGATACACTGAATTTGTGAAGATATGCTATTATCACATAATTTGTAAAATCCTTGTGGGCTCGCTGTAAGCAAGCTGACAAGGCTGATATGATTGTTGGGAACTGAACTCAGGACCTCTTGGAGAATAGTGCATGGTATTGACCACTGAGAAGTTGTTCCAACTCCTTGTTTAGGTACTTATTTGCACTTCTTCATGGTTTTTTGTTGTTGTCGATTTTGCTATAAGAATTCTCTGTGTAACAGTCCAGACTATTCTGGAACTCACTATGTACACCAGGCTGGCCTCAAACCTGGAGATCTTTATGCTTTGCTGCACATTTTAAAAATAAGATTTTGACATTGCTGCATTGTTTTCCCTTTCCATTTTTAGTTTTGAGACTTGAATGCTGTGTAGATTATGGTGACTTCTTTGTTTTCTGCCCTTTCTTTCTTCATAAACAATATCTTTCTGTTGTCTTTAGCTCTCTGATATTATGTGGAGATGTGTCACATAGTGTTTCTTTCATATGTAGGGCACTTTCATTCTGGAAACGCTTGGTTCTCTGGGTTACTAGAATTATTCATTGTGATAATACAAAGTTTTTATTTGATGATTATTTCATTTAATCCTGGCTACCCTGGAACTCCCTATGCAGATCAGGCTGACCTTGAACTCACAGAATTCCAACTGCCTCTGCCTCCTGAGCACTGAGATAAAAGGTGTGTGTCCCTGGGATTGGCCAGGTTGCATCTTGTTGAGCTGGCTTTCCTTAAGTCCCATTAGAAAGTGGTTGGTTACTTTCATAACATTTATGCCACTCCTGTTCCTGGAGGCATATCTTACCCGTGTTTAGTATTGTAGTTTGCATGGTTCACAGGTGACATTGATGACTACTTTTTTCCTCTGTTGCATGCATAACACTGTAAAGAGAAGCTATTTCTTGAGAGAAACCTTTCCGCCCACCTGGTTCCAGAGCTGCTTTCCTGCCCGCCTGGTTCCAGATCCGCATGAGTCCCAAATAAACACACAGGAGGCTATATTAATTATGAAGCTGTTGACCTTGTTTGTCTCTTACTGGCTAGCTCTGCCTTAAGTAATTACCCCATAATTGTTAATCTAAGTATGTTTCTTACTGGAGAATAGTTCCCGGCGTCCTACCCCCATGGCGTCACATGTTGACTCTCTTGTGTTTCCCCTTCCCAGAATCCTCCTTGACTCCTAGTCCCTCCTATCTAGGTTTTCTATTGGCCAGACAGTACTTTATTGACAAATGCACAGGCAAATAACAGGACTTCCCCAATATAACACCTTTCAGCACTATTGAAGATCACCAGTAGGGATGAAACATCCAGCTATATGTATGCCTAAAAGAAACAAAGATGAGTGGCAGAGAATGAGATGTGTATATGCATGTCTAGCAGAAGACAGGAGCAGGAGGGAGGATGGAGAGAAAGCAGGAGCATGAATGTGTGTGCATCTGTGTGTTGGTATGTGCGTATGTGTGCAGGCACCCAAGGAGGCCAGAAGAGGACATTAGATCCTCTGGAATTATAGGCACTTGTAAGCTTCTCAGTGCAGGTGCAGGGAATTGAGTGTGGGTCTTCTGCAAGAGCAGGATGTGTTTTTAAGTACTCATCTGTCCCTCCAATTCCCCAGGTCTTCCTGTTTGGTTTCCACTCATCACTCTCTTACTACTGCTTTGAAATCATTGTGTGAAGTCATCTTATTTTCTGTTTGTCTAACTGGCTTAGGTTTCTTCTGTCTATTGTCTGTGGAGTCTTTTTTTATCATTTTTTATTTTAATTTTAAATAGCTTGTTTTACATGTCTATCCCAGTTCCCTCTCCCTCCCCTCCTCCCACACTCCCCTTCCCACCCACCCTCCCACCCTATTGCCAAATCCTTCCACATAGGGGATATCTAGAGTCTGTCATTTCACTCTGGGTAGGGTGCAGGCACTCCCCCTAAGAGTCCAGGCTGAGAGAGCATCCCTCTTTGTTCTATAGCCACACGATGACTGTTTGTATTCCAGGGATAGACACTGATCCACAGCTCAGGGCCCCATAGGTTGCCCAGGCCTTCTCGCTAACACTCACATTTGGGGGGGTCCAGATCAGTCCCATGCTGGCCTCCCCACTGTAGGTCTGGGGTCTAAGAGCTCTCCCCTGTTCAGATCAGCTGTCTCTGCTGGTTTTGCCAGCCCATTCTTTGCCAATTTGCTCATCACTCCTCTCTCTCTGTCACTGGGTTCCTTGGGTTCAGTTCAGTGATTAATTATGTGTTTGCCTCTGCTTCCATCAGTCACAGGATGAAGGCTCCCAGATGGTTATAGACATCAAGTTCATTATCAGGAATGGGCATTCGAGGTGGTCTCTCCACTATTGCTTAGCTTGCCAATTGGTGTTATCCCTTTAGATCACTGGAGGTCACTCTGGTGCCTGATCTGTCTTCTATCCTATGATTCCCTCTTCCCCCTATTCTACCCCCACCCACTCAACTTCCTGTTCCCCCATGACCAACTCTCTTCCTCTTCACCCCCTCTCTTCTTCCCAGCTCCCACTCACCCCCACCCCTCACCATGTTCCCCATCCATTCAGAGGATCTTGTCTCAATCCTCTTCTCTTGGTTACTATGCATATATGCATATCTTTTAGGTTCTTTCTTGTTTCCCAGACTCTCTATCAGTGGAAGTGCAGACTAGCACTATCCTGATCCATGTCTAACATCCATATATGAGTGAGTACATACCATGTTTGTCCTTTTGCGACTGGGTTACCTCACTCAGGATGGTTTCTTTCAGTGCTATCCATTTACCTGCGAATTTCAAGATTCCATTGTTTTTTTCTGCTGAGTAATACTCCATTGTGTAAATGTACCACATTTTCTCTATCCACTCTTCAGTTGAGGGGCATCTAGGTTGCTTACAGGTTCTGGCTATTACAAATAATGCTGCTATGAACATAGTGGAGCAGATGCCCTTGTTGTATGAATTTGCCTCATTTGCATATATGCCTAAGAGTGGAATTGCTGGGTCTAGTGGTAGATTAATTCCCATTTTCCTGAGGAATCTCCATACTGATTTCCAAAGAGGCTGTATGAGTCGGCACTCCCAACCAGCAGTGCAGGAGTGTTCCCCTCTCTCTACATCCTCTCCAGCAAAAATTGTCTTTGGTGTTTTTGATTTTAGCCATTCTGACAGGAGTAAGATGGTATCTCGGAGTTGTTTTGATTTGCATTTCCCTGATGGCTAAGGATGTTGAGCACTTTCTTAAGTGTCTCTTGGCCATTTTAGCCTCCTCTATTGAGAATTCTCTATTTAGTTCTGTACCCCACCCTTTAATTGGATCCTTTGGTGTTTTGGAGACTTGTTTCTTGAGTTCTTTGTAAATTTTGGAGATTAGCCCTCTGCCAGATGTGGGGTTAGTGAATATCTTTTCCCATTCTGTGGCCTGCCTTTTTGT